TCTTGCTCTCTTTTTTGCTGATTTCCAGCAAAAGAAAAGAAAGGAAAAGACTAATTCTGAAAAATGTTTTTGCTTAATGACCATGGTGATTCGCTTAACAATCACAGCAAAAATGTTGAAAAAATGAATCTGATTACGTGGGTGCCTTGACTTATGACCTCAATGACTTACAATTGGATTTCCAGTCCCAATTGTGGTCATAAATCAAGGACTACTTGTAATTTTTTCCCTCCTATACCAAATCTGATGGGATGGAAATAACAGATGTTGGTTTACTTGCACTACCAGATTCAAATTCCGACAATTCTGTATAGGAACTGGGAAGCAGTCCTATCATGGGCAGCCACTATTAATCAGTAAAGAGCTGGCTGGACCAATCAGAAATTTCCTATGTAGTTCATGAAATTACCATCCAGTCCATCCCTTACCATCTTGTTCCATGTTCCTTATTTTTCTTATCATTAGCTAAAGTACAGGGTTATCTGACTATTGATTTTTATAAGCTGCCTTTGTCAGCCTTGGAAGCCATTTTTTACTTGGAAGTTTTGAGGCTTCCCTATTCAGTGCCTGGGAATTTGGGAGGGGGAAATTAATAGTGGGGTAGAAGATTAAACACAACATTATTCTTTCTGAGAGATTCAAGGACATGTTGCCCTGCACCTGGAAGGGAGTGACTTGGAACGAAGATTTGATTGGGCCATGGTTTGGGGTTGGTTAGTTGGAATGCTGACAGCCTTTTTTGGCTAAAGAATGGGGTAAAAATTGTAGAATTATGAATACACTGCTCAGCATTTAATCAGGATTCCTTATTCTATGACTGATGTCTTAAAGTTACTAAATTATATTCTTGCTTCGGGCACAGTACTTATTTAAACTACAAAAGTCATCTAAGTAGAAACTAATGCTTTTTGTACTCCGATCTGCAACAGAGCAAAAATTAGAATAGCAAAGCCAAATGAATAACTCTGGGATAAGAAAAAAATTATAGTGAGAATATATTTTAAGAGATTAATATAGTTATTAAAACAAACTCAATCATTGCTTTTTAAATATCCACACATGCATATGGTAAGTAAATAGTTAAAACCAGTGAAAGAATGATGACTTCCTAACTTGGTCAAATAAATATTTTACTGCTTTTTTTCTAGTGCTGCTATTGCATGAAGTGAATCCCAATTCATCCTAAGCAAATTTATAGTTTCTAAGAATAACATAGCTGAAACAGTGGACAATGGTGTTACATAGATTGCATCAAATATACAAAATTATGACAACCCCTGCATACTTAAAACCAAGAGGAATGGCTCTAAATTGAAGTATTATTTAAGGAATAATTGATCTAGATCTAATTTGCTCTCCCTATACTATACATTCAAAGTATTCAAAAGTTGCCTTTTGTAAGGGACTTATTAAATAGGTCATGGGGGGGGGGGGGTAATGAGCATAAGTTTCTATACCCGCAATCAATTTGTTTTTGTGTGTGTGTTGTACAGGTCACCTTCAAGAAGTGAGGGGAGCTGAATGTCAACACACAAAACATTTTCTATACACATTTTATAGTTGTCAACAAAAAAGAAGCGGGGTGGAGTTTCAAAGAGCAGGCAGCAGTGTGGAATCGAAAGTACATTCCATTCATATTTTTTTCAGAGACTGATTAGATGACTGAAGCTTCCGCTGTGTAAAAATCTAATTGGAGAGCATGATTGATGACTCTTGGCTATCGACATGTTTCATTGGAGAATATGAATTATGATACACCCAAAGGGGTGGGGGGAAAAGTAGAGTCAAGGGTGACAGTGAATTACATGTCTCAGAGTCAGCTACGCCCAGGTCATGCCGACCTGTTGACTTCCAGTAAATCCTTTGAAGTTTTGGGAGTATGGCTCAAGACTCATGATTTAATTGGGGTAACTGCCGGAATCCTGACAGAGGGATTAATATATTGATGATAATATATAGAGAAAAATAAACCAGGATCTCTTTACTCTAGAGCTACGTACTGATATTTTATTTAAATCAGATTAGCAGAAGATATATTCTTCAGAAATTTGAGCAGGAGAAATTTAACTTAGTTTATAAGGACAGGAAACAATGTTTTAATAAAAAAATTAAATTGCTATTAATAGAAATTGATTAGCTGAAAGTTTAAGAGTATGGGATTATATCCCTCACTGGACAGATTCTCTGTTCTTCATAGAAATTAAAATTAATGTTAACTGTAAAATTAATTGATTAATTGCTTCAGAGTACATATGCAAGAACAGGTAAAGGACACATGTAAAAATCTAGTTATAAAAATTAATTTAGTCATTATTTTAAGTTTAAGTTTATTTATTTTTAAAGAATATCAAGCTTTTAGGACTAACAAATCAGGATTTTCAAAACCAAGCTGTCGTAAACCAGTATGGAAATTCAAGTTAGACAAATCTGTTCACAGTATATTTTTATGTATGTCATAAACAATGTCCCTGAAATGCAGGGCAGAACAACACAACTAGCAATCATTAACATTTATTTATTTCCACATCAGTTTTCAGGAATGGCAGTACCTCAAATCCCACTGCCATATGTATGTCAGTCAGGTGCAATTCACTGACTGATTGTCTAGGCAATAGATTCGCTTTCAATCATTGAAGCCTTCAAGCACTGCAATGCAATTGCAAACCAGGAGAAAATTTCCTCCACCCTCTTTGACTGGACTCTTCTGCGTTCTGCTACATCTGTATTGTAATTTTAGGAAGATTGGGTGTTTAAGATGCTGGAATCCATGATTTCTATCAATTTTTCTGCATTGGTTTTTGTAATATATTCAAAGGTTCCTTGAAAGATAGCCTAGAAATATCATAGCCAACGGCTTGATAATTTGGTGCAGACACTGAATGAAGCAATATAAATACAGAGCTGCCTAGAAAAAACCAAGGCCTAGTCCTTCCTATATCTTTGACTTCACTTATATGATAAAATAACCCAAGGGAGGGCCAATTGGGGGTATAGTAGTTGCTAAAGGCTCCAGGAAAGAAAGTAGGAGACTGAATTCTAGTCTTCTTCCATTGCTAGGAATCAAAATTGACTTGAAGACATGTTTGGGAGCATAAAAATAAAAGAGCCAAGGACAATGATATTTTTAGAGATCTGTTATCATCAAACCATGCATAGATGAATGAGAACTAGCTTATTGCTATATGCCCTTTAGATAGACTCTCTGCCTCCTGTTAACTAACAGAAACACAAGTACAGTGAAATGTTGAAATCAACACAGTGGTCTAAGTAGTCTTGAAGATTCAGACCCTCTAAAGGCCCCACCTCTGCTTTGCCTGTAGCTCCATTTCTCCTCGTCATCGTCAAGATTTCTGCCTATGTGCTTGTTCACCTGTGCTATTGGTACAGAATGGACGGGCCCATGAGTGGCACTAACAGAGGTACTCAGGAGGATGAATCAATGCCAGTGCTGTTCATTTGACTACAACTTCTCTGACAACCAGCTAACTGTGATGATAGTGGGAGGACAGAGACTCATGGAAAAAGAAACCATCCCCTCTTGATCTTACTTTTCCCCCAAATTACTCTAATCATTAAGCTGGAACTGTGGCTAATATGGAGAATCTGTGATTCTTCAATGATATTGAAGTATAATTCCCAGCAGCCAGCATACCCAATATTGAGGAATGACAAAAGTGTTACAACTTAGCAACAAATATAGTGCAACAGGGTCCTGGGAAGAAAAAGCTATCTTCAAAACCATGTATGTATTTTTGATTTTTGTTAAAATAATAGCAAAGTGATTATTACAATTTATCCCTTATAGCTTTATTTGCCACAAGCTCACAATATCAGTAGTGAGTGACAATTTTAAATATCGATTGCAGAATTCAAGTAAGATATAAGATAAACCTTATAAAATATATTGTTATTAGTTCATGGCTTATCACTTCAAGTATTTCAGTATGTTACATCTCTTTTGTGCTCCAATGCCTTTTGAGGCAATATACAATCATTTCTCTCCCCCCATCTTCCAAGATATAAACAAAGCCTTTATACTACTTTCTTTCAGTTGATCATGTTATGTGAAGACCAGAAAAAGAGCAACATATAGTTAAACAAAAAAAGTGAAGAGAACACAAGACAAATAAATACAACTAGAATTATTTTACATCATGAGCATTCACTTTCATCTTAAAATGTATGTAAAATGTATATGTAAAAGGGGGTCTTAATTCAGCCTCCTTCAACCTGGGCCTTTCAAATGGTTGGGACTATAACTTCCAAAATTCCCAACCACCATGCTCTTTAGCAATCCCGGGATTTCCCCAATAGACCAAGTAAAGGTTAGTCTAATATTTGGCAAAGAATGTTCTGACTTCTGAAGTTAGAACTTGGTTAGATAACTTTTACATTATAATTTAATCTTTAGGTTTGAAGAAATTAGCATATGCTTATTGTTTAAGTATTGTTGACTTCTCATATGCTTGTAGAATAGTAGAAGCTAAATTATAAATAATATCAGTGTAAATTAATATTTAACTAGAGCAAATTGGGAATTAATTTTCCTATATTTTGTTTCAGTCTGGATTAAAGAACATGTTTAAACAATATAAATCCCAAAGCAATTAGTTGCTGCTGTTTCAATTTCAACACAAAGCAAAATTTTCATTTAATATGGTAATTATGCCAGGATTTAGATACTGAAAATGAAAGGAGCCAATTGCTATGAAGGAGTTCCTCACCTGAAGTTTATATTTATATAAAACATAAATCTGAATTTAAACGCACTGTTGTAATACAAATTTGCCTGATGTTTCTTAAGTTGAAGAAAACGGTTTAAAAAGACTATTTTTTGCTCCTTGCAGAAAATCAAAATCCTGACAAATTTTGAATCAATTAAAGGGATAGAAGTAAACAAAATTAGAGTGAGATATCATAGTTAAAAATAATGAAATCAAAGAAGTAGGTTGTAACCAGCAGCATGCAATGGGGTTTCCTTGCTGTTTACATTAATTTACCTTCTTGGGAGAGAACAATAAACTTTGATGATTTGATGACTTTGCCGTCCAGAGTCCAGATGATAGTAGCAAGTGGATCTGAGGATACCTGACATTGCAAGACCAGTTTTTCACCTTCTACTACTTTGGTATCCTGTAGCTTTTCAATAAAGGATGGTGCTATTCCCTCAGGCTCTATTTTGTTATCTTTTCCTTTATCTTCAGTTATCCGTCCATCTACTTCTGGTGGGTAGTCACCTTTGCAATTACGGTCATTCTTATTCTCTTTCTCCCTTGATTTAACATGTGACATTTCAGAGCTGGAGTTAGTAACTTGGTTTTCATTCTTGGTGCTAGCATTCTGTATTTTATGTCTAGAGCTGGTATCCTGGGACTCCAAAACAGTGCTGGTCTCTGGCAGTTTAGAAGTAGCATTGACAGCGTCCAACTTCTTGGATGTCACAGGATTTTTAGAGGTGATGCTGATATCTGGCACTTTATTGGTGGCACTAGATTTCTGCACTTCAGAGTTGGCATTCACATTCTGGACTTGAGTCCCAGGGCCACCATTTTCAGTTGGTGTTTTTTTCTTTGCAGCAAGCACAGATCTAAAATCTGGGGTGCTTGGCTTTGAACCTGCTGCCTTGTCTGGTAAGGAAGGTTTGGGAGTGCCCTTTTTTGCCAAGACTCCACGAAAGTCTACCTGTTGTGGAGCATGGACCTTTCTTTCTTCTTCTGACAAGGTTTTCGGCTTGACCTGCCGTTGCAGGGTACCACGGAAGTCCATTTGTTTGGCTGGGATATCCTTCAACTCCTCCTCAGAAAAAGTTTTGGTGTTAACTTTCTTTGCCAAAATGTCCCGGAAGTCAATCTGCTCAGCCTCCTGTTGCCTTAGCTTCTCCTCTGTGCTCTCTCGGGTTTCTACTCGTCTTTTAAGCACTCCACGGACACTTTCCTGCTCTTCCTCAACTTGCTGGCCTTCCCCAGTATTCCTCTTGAAGGAGCCACTGATGTTTCTGAATGTCAGTGCATCCTCTCCACAATCAGCCTCTTGTCGTACTTTCTGCCTCCCACTGTAAGCAGAGAAGGGTTTGAGAGGGAGAGAGGAAGGGGCGGGAAAAGAGAAAGAGGGGGAGCAAAGAGCTGGTTTAATGAATTCAGGAATCACCCCCTCAGAGAAAGGACAAAATATGTTTATAGAAGGGAAGGCTGATTAGAGGAATAGTTTATTGCATCAATGATGACTTCAGGAACCATATAAGGGAACTAAATTTTTTAAAAAGTGCTCCACATTGTCAGCTGTATGATAAAAACAGCTCGTTGGGTCACATTTGGGGATTAGATTGAACAGCAGCCAACCCAAGTCTACAAGGAAAGAGAATTAGCTGAGCAAAAAATAAAACCCACCCACATAAGTCCCTGGGAACCGTACTCACTTTTTTTGCATTCCTTCTTTGGAAAATGATTTTTCTCCCAGCGTCAAAGATACCTGACAGTTGCATTCTCCAACTGGGTTTCTGAAAAAGTACAACAAAGTGAGACTCAGCCAAAAAAATAATAATTGCTCTCTGTTAGATAGTACGCAGAAGAGATCAATCCTGCAGTATGCTGATTTTTTTTTTTTGTTCCTCAGCCAAGCATTCCAGTAGTAGATAGTTACTTCATCATTGGCCAGAAAGAAACATTATTCCTCATCCCACCCGCTTCAAATGTTTTTCCTAAAAATAAAGCCACAGGTGGAAATCAGGAGAGAATATACCTCTAAACAAGTAACTTGAAGAAAATTAGCCGAAGGGGTTGGGTGAGAAGGAAAAGAGCCGCTTTACAGCATCTACACTCTTTCTAATTCTTGTCCCAGTCTTTGTTTATACAAGACCAAGCTTTCAACTTTCCTTGCACTGAGACATTAAAAACAGGGTCTCCTTTCCCTGCTCCTCCTTTTCCCTCCCCCATCAAACAGTATAATCAACCCTCACAGATTGTTTCAGCCTGTGCATGTTTATATTTAAAAATAATAATAAAAGTGTCACCATATATGGTGCTGAGCCCTTATTCTTCCTTTTGCAGAGGAATGCCAGAGATGCCTGCAGAAAATGACTCCCATTAAAGTCATTAAAATACTTTCCCCTCTTCCTGCCCGCCCTCAGTACCATGTTATGCTTCACAGCAGATACATCTTCAAATGGTTCATCTCCCCAAGAGACGTAAAAAAAAAAAAAAAAGAGGGAGGGGGGAACGTAATTCAGATTGTGTAAACATTGCTACCACATCCTAAGCAGCTTGCCATTTTATGAAAAAAGGGCTTTCTCTGCCAACTGCTGAAGAAGAGGTAGACAGTAAATCAGATGGATTTTCAAGATTTTGCTATCCCAAACTAGATCTAAAAGTGGTTTTTAAAATTGTTTAAGAGAAGTGCCGGTTCTACTTTCAGGCTTCAACAACCTTGTCAAAATACAATACAAGGCTAAAAAAAAATATCTTAAAATGACTGAATAAACTATAGTTTGCTTGATTCATACAATTAAGAGCATAAATTCTAAACTAGGAATGAGAAATTTACTTATATGAAATTTACTTATTTCAAACTGAATGCTACCAGGGTTTGCATGCTGGAAGACAGGTGGTGAAAGCTTATATAAATGTGAATAAAAACAATAAAACTAAAAATATAACTACTTGTAGATTAACCGTAGTTTAATTTGAGAATGAAATTGTCAATAGGGTAATCAATAGATGAGAGACAGAAAGGAAGAAAAAATGTATAATTTGTCCATCTGGTGTTTGGGACAAAATTGGACTCCACACAACTACTTCATTGTCCAAGAGAACCTAGCCTTTAGCCCTAAAAAAAGGATCCAACACTCTTTACACTCTTAATAAAAAGACTTCTCATCATTTTTATCCCATAGGTATTTATTGCAATATTGGGAGAAAAGCTGTTGTGAAGCAGGTATTAATTGGTACTAGTTACATTAATTACTTTATTCTGAGAGGGTTTAGCACAGTTGACACACACAGCACTAAGTTTTATTAAAAAAAAAGAATTGCATCATGTTATGAAGTTTTGAAAACACGAGATGCCCAGCAATAACTAATTATCAAGTTTAGTAATCAACAATTATCCCACAATTATCCCTATTCTTAAACTTTGAAGCTGTGGCTTTTAACTTTGATTCAAGCTTTTGTTACATATCAGCTGCCACAAAGAGATCCACATACTATGCTAACCATAGGGAGTTTAATCATTGTTTGAATAAACCACAAGCAGCTTTGTACATGCAGCACTGCAAATTGCTAATGGTGACTCACAAATAGCAAAATCTAGATTCAGAAAAGACACCAAAATCAAGCCAAACAAACAACTTTATATCTTAACACAATGTACTGTAGACCAATGAATCCTGTGGGTGAAAATACAGAAAACAAACAGATTAATCAATCTACTAGGACAGGGGTGTCAAACTGGATTTCTTTGAGGGCCAGATCAGCATTGTAGTTCTCCTCTGCAGGCCGGGGGTGGGGAGGCAGGGAGCGGGGGAGGAGGAGACAGGTTGCTTCCTGCAGCACCCTGCTGGCAAAAATGGGTGTTGCGGACACCGAGGTGTGGCCTGTTTTTGGCTGGGAGAGGCTCCTTGGAACGGTCCTTTGATATTTCCAGGCCAGCCCTGTAGGCCAGGTTTAAGCACCCCATGGGCTGGATCTGGTCCACAGGCATTGAGTTTGACACCCTTGTACTAGGACAATCATATATTACAAGTGAAGTAGCTGTGCTTGCAATGAAAAAGTTCAGTGAGCATATTGCAAAAGAGGGATCCACAAGAAATTGATCCTTAAAATTAAGCAATGTTACAATTATACAAATTGGTGGCTAGCAGAGTCCATCAACTACATGGTACATATTAAGCAAAGTAGTATTATAGGTGTCTAATACCCATATAAACTAAAAATATCTTTTCATATTAGTCATAAGAACGGCTAAGGACTGTAAGGTAGAGCCTGCTGGTCCTACCTTCTTCCCAGGAGGGACTGTTTTCATTTCTTATGATGCTTAAGCCCACAACTTTGAAGGTATAATCAATTTGAAACATACTGATATCAATCCATACATCTGTATTTTATGTTTAAACCACAAGTACAGTAAAAGCCTCTTGTCCACACAATCTCATTTTTATTCAGAATAAACATCAAATATAAAAATAACCTTATCTCTTTATATCTATAATTTATATACCCACACATCTCACATAAGTGACTTTGGGTGAGAAACTCACCCAAACACAGAAGCTCACTACACACAAACTCCCTGGCATCAAAGGATAAACTATGATCCCATTTATCGTAACTAGTACCGTGTTTCTCCAACAATTCAGCCTCCACCACTAGGGAGGCCCAGCATGATTTCTAGGCATGAGGTGAAATTAAGCCCCACCCCCCAAATTTAGGCCTATTTAAACCATGCTTTTTCCCGCCATTTCTCACATCGTTCGTTAGAACTACACAAGGTGAAGAGAAATGGGGGGGAGGCGGGGGGGAGAAAACTTGCCTTTAGGAGTGCCCTGCAGGTAGCCTAGGCTATAATACCCTGATCTACTACCGATAGAACATCAGCCAATAGAAACTTCCCAAAGGCAGAGTCATCAGCTGCTTCGATCTGCTGGTAGAAGTTGCTTCGGGGAGAGCGCCCACGCACAATCCCCTCTCCATGAGGCCATTTCTATCAGCCAACGAAAGCTCCCCAAAGGCAGAGTCCCCAGCTGCTTCAGGGCGAGGCATGGCTGCCCGTGTCACCTCGCCATCGGGGAGCTTCCATCACCCAAAAGACACTGCCTAATGGCAAGGGGACACAGGCAGCCACACCTTGCCCCAAAGTGGCTGGGGACTCTGCCTTCGGGGAGCTTTCGTAGACCGATAGAAGTGGCCTTGCGGCGAGGGGAGTATGCGTGTGCGCTCACCCAGAGGCCGCTTCTACCAGCCGATCGAAGTGGCTGGTGATTGCCCTTGGGAAGCTTCCATAGCCCAAAAGACACTGCCTAATGGCGAGGGGACATGGACAGCCACGCCTCATCCCGAAGTGGCTGGGGACTCTGCCTTCAGGGAGCTTTCATTGGCTGATAGAAACAGCCTCGTGGAGAGGTACGTGCACATGGGTCGCTCTAGGTGGGGGAGGAAATTAAGTCACCCCCAAAAAGACGGCCTAGCCATTTTTTCGGGGGTCAAAAAAAAATAAGGCCTGGCCTTATTTTGTGAGAAACATGGTAACAACAGCAGAAGTAACAATTATTTGAATATTAACATCAGTAAAGAGAAGAGTGAAGAGTAAAATTTAAAGATTACTTTGAAGTTTGCAAAAACAGGCATCCTTATTCTAGAGTAAAGCCTACTAAATATAGTGGAACACTTTTAATGTTCCATTCAGAGATGGAAAAAATGTGATTTTCCCCCCCAATCTGAACGTTTTTCTAATCAAATAAAAAAGGCAGCATATGATCCCAGACCAAAACAGCCATGTAGGTTAAACAAAATAAAAATAATTACCCAAATAAGGGAATACATCTCAGTGCATTAAATAGTATGTAATAATATTATCAGTAAAAAGATATGCAATTATATTTTTAAGACCATACCAGATAATAATGATTAGTCTTGGTTAAAAGGTTTTTTTAAAAGTTACTTAAAACATTTCATATTTTTAAAGTGTATTTTTTTAAAACGATCTAAATTCAAACTCTACAGATAATTGCAATGTAACCTTATAAATGCTTGATAAGGCTCCTTGTAAGAATATTGTACAAAATACCTGAGTGGAAGTCTATTTAACACAATGCATTGTTATATATTTGGCAGATGAGACAACAAACTGTCCTCAGCTGCCTTTTCCCCATGTTCATTCACAAATCCCTTGGCAAGGTTTTTCAGAGGTGGTTTGCCATTGCCTCCTTCCTATGGCTGAGGGAAAGAAACTGGCCCAAGGTCACCCAACAGGCTTTGTGCCTAAGGCAGTGCTAGAATTTATGGTGGTCTGATTTTTAGCCTGATGCCTTAACCACTACACCATTGGCCTCCAATAAAATAAATACATAGCTTGAAGGTATTCTTACATCCTACTTTCTTTCAGCTCCAACCCTTTCTGGACTAGTATAAATCCAAGTGACTCTAAGCTTAGTAGCTTTGCATTGAATTCCTATAAAGTACTTTATGTATAATCATTTGGTCTTTCTTGTAGACCACCTTGGTAAGTATTATTATTATTATTAGTTGTAATACTATTAAAGTATTAAAATATTTTCATACAATAATTTGCGGGGGGGGGGGGTTGATGAACAATCCAAAACTTCATGAAGGGGTCAATGTCCCTATCCTATTGTCCTCAATTATTAGTTCCTATTTCTTGTATTTAAACTTATGTTTATTGTTGGCTTCCGGTTTGAGCTTCTTCAGTGACAGACCAAAACCTTGTCTCTGTGAGACTTTGATCCGTGCTCACCGCTGGAGCGCCCCAAGCTGGCTGGTTTCAGGG